GGGGGCGGGCGGCCCGGGGGGGACCAGCCACGACGGGGGAGACCTGGAGGAGGCAGCTGTTGGGTGTTGCCCTCCATGTTGGCATTGTGGCGAGCTGGGGTTGTACATGGCTCCCTTTGCCTGCTGCTGCTCCTTGCCCCCGTGCCCAGCCCCGAGGCTTGGCTTTAGTTGTGTGACAGGTAACTGTCCCCTCCACTTGCATCGCCATTGCTTCTCCAGCCCACAGTTTGGAGGGGGGCCTCTTCTCTCTCTCTCTCGCCCTCTCTCTCTCTCTCCCAGGCAGATATGGCCACCATTTTAGAAAGCTAGACATACTGGGGGAAAGTATGAAGTCCTCCTCATCACCTCGGGTGGCAAAAGGATTGGGTTGGGAACCCACAGTTTCCATCTCTCTCTTTCTTTCTTTATTATTTTGTTGGTGTTAGTTAAATAGTTCACCTTTCCCAAGTTTTAATTTGCACAGAAATGTAGTTTCGTTCTGTTTTAATGAAGGCACTGTTTACACACCGCTGTAAGGAGACCTGTTTGGGTCCCGAGGTTCTTGTTGGGACCAAGATCTTTTTAATAACACTCCTTGGGAAGGGTTGTTTTTGGGGGGGGAGGAGAGGGGAGGGTTTATTCCTACTTTCAAGGGTAAGGTGGTGCAAAGGAACTTAGGGTAGTTACTGTACAGCAGCCAAAATGCTGTCCTGCTAAATAAGAGTGCTTGAAAGATTTACGTTGGGTCCAGTAAGAAGTGAGGTTTACCAAATGCTTATGCATGCATTTTTGTTTAAAAGTGTAACTTCTGAAACCAAAGTGCATGAATCGGGCGCATTTTGGTTGGACTTGATCACATTTAAAATTCTTGTGTAACTAGAAACCCCCCCCTCAGTAACTTGCTGCTTGCCAACAGGATTGAAATAAAATAAAGTTACTTCATGGTATTGTCTGAGATCAGAAATACATTTATAATCGGGTTGAGCAGGGTCATCCTCCTATAGGTAATTCCATCTTCTGGAAGAGATGTAATATGCAGTTGAGTGAACATGTGTCCTCATTAACTTTACATTTACTAAAAAGGGGCTCGGTCTTGACCCTCTATAATAGCTTATATGAAAATCAATTCTTTCGCCAACTGACTTTCTCTCTCTTTTTTTTTTTTTTTTTCCAAATTATGAGCAGAATTCGCTTTCTACGTAGCTTTTTCGGTGTTTCAGTTTTTAAATCTAAATTTATCCTATTTGCAAGCTGGCATAGAAAAGAAACCTAATAATAAATGATGTTTTATAAGCTATGCTTCTTAATGGAGAAGTTGGAGATGCAGGGACCTTTAGATCTTCAAATAATTACTGTCAACATTTCTTTGTTCCTTTACCAAAGGAAGAACATGGTTTCAAATGCCTTGTCCTCCAACTCCCCCTCTCCCCCACAAAAAGCCAGCATCCAACCAATACTAGCTATATTACTATGATATGTGTTTCACTGGCTTTCTAATATGCCTATCTATGTAGAGCCAGACTGGATACAGTGGAAGCTGCTGGATACTGAACATGTTTGTGCTTGACTGGAAGATGAACACTCATGAAATCTGGCCCCTAGCTCTTGCTTATGCTAGATAATTGAACCAGTCATAGCACCAGTGTAAGCACAACTTCAGTTCCTCATTGGCCCTCCTGAAACCATAGCTCCGATGAGATCTTGAAATTGCGTTTTGGGAGCTTACATATTATGGGGGAAGAGGTCAAACTCCTGTAAAGTCCATGGAGCTGACACTTTCCTAGCCCTCCTTAAAAGCATGAATGTGCTAGTCTTACTCCTTACCGGAAAGGTGCTGAATTTTTGGAAAGTGGGCTCTTCCATGTTTACACCAGAACGTTCAGGTCATGCTTTCTACCTCGGGTCTGGGAGCATCAGTTTTATTTAAAATCAAGATGGATGTTGCACCATGTGATGCAACGAGGGCTAACATGAAAACCTTACCATGAAGGTGATACTATATGCCCAGTGTACCGTATTCTGGTTAGGATCCTGAAATCTCCAGCTAGGCGCATGGCTCTGAAGTCCCTACATGCACGCTCTTTGCAAGTTTTACTGCACTGGGTCATTCTGAGACAAGTAGGT